AATTTAAATTCTACTCAATTAACCATTCACATTTTATGTACATATACATAAATAATTTTTTCTAAGGTTTTCTATAAGTTTGTCAACATGTCAATTTTATAATTAATATTTTAACTATATAAAATAACATAATTCTGAACAAAGTAATAAAAAAATTGAATTGACTAGTTAAAATTGAAAAAAACAATCATTGATCAAAAACTTATAGCTTAGTTTTATATTTGTTGAATTATTTAATAACGAACTTAATTTTACTTCCATTCTTCTTAACAATTTAAAGTAATAATCAATTGTAGCATATTATAAAAATACTTTAATATACAGGTCAGGTTAAAATAAACTATCAATTTTTTTATTACTTTGTTCAGAATTATGTTATTTTATATAGTTAAAATATTAATTATAAAATTGACATGTTGACAAACTTATAGAAAACCTTAGAAAAAATTATTTATGTTTATGTACACCCAACGTGGATTGAATCGCGACCCCCCCAGTTAGGTTGGTATGAGAATTCCGTCGTTGCATCGGAACGAAGAAACCGCGGGAAAATTCTATTGTAGATAGTAAATAAATAAATAAATATTGGGTGTACACCCAACGTGAATTGAATTGCGACCCCCCCCCCAGTTAGGTTGGTAGAGTGCTACTTTCAGTCCGTAACGGTGGTTTTCAGATCGGCCATAGTATAACGCTCGTTCTTGAATTATATAATTAAAACCTAAAATCAAATAATCATGCATCTAAATTCATTGTTTGCAAACAATTAATTTTAAACCTAAAAACAAATTAGTAACGTTTTAGCTTTTTATCGTATCTTAAAACGAATTTTCATTTTTGAATATGGTTGGTATGAGAATTCCGTCGTTGCATCGGAACGAAGAAACCGCGGGAAAATTCAAAAATGAAAATTCGTTTTAAGATACGATAAAAAGCTAAAACGTTACTAATTTGCTTTTAGGTTTAAAATTAATTGTTTGCCGAACAATGAATTTAGATGCATGATTATTTGATTTTAGGTTTTAATTATATAATTTAAGAACGAGCGTTATACTATGGCCGATCTGAAAACCACCGTTACGGACTGAAAGTAGCACTCATAGTCTCATACCAACCTAACTGGGGGGGTCGCGATTCAATCCACGTTGGGTGTACATAAAATGTGAATGGTTAATTGAGTAGAATTTAAATTACTTATTATTATAATTACGCAATGTAGAACTCATATAGGGATATCTGGTGATTAGCAAACGTTTTACCTGTTTTATCGACTAACTGCCGCATATTACTAATTTTTACATTTTCCTTAATTTTTGAAAGAAAATCGACAAAAGGAAAATTGTTTCGTAATCCGGGAATAAGGAGTTATCATCCGCTATCGATATTATTTCTTTTTAAACAGGAGAAAAATGTTTAATGCATTTTGCGCGCTGTACGAACGCCCGATTTTTTTTCGCAATTTTCTTAAAAACGGAAAATCCGGAAATAAAATTTCAAGCGGAGACATAATCTGGAAAAACGGAGAAAACGTTTTAGCTCATGAAAACTCAAAAATATGATTAAAAAATTTTTTTGAGCGTCAGATTCACAAATCTCTAGCTGAGACGCCGATATGCAAATACGCATGCGTGAATATAGTTATTATAAAAATTAAAAGTGAAAAATAAGATTTAGTAGTAATTTCTGCAATTGGCAAAGTAATTTAAACGTAATAAGTTATAAGGTGATTGAATGATTACGGTGCATGGAGAAAAAAGAAAAAACATCATTAATGTTATTTTGGGTGTGAAAAGTTAAATACACGCATGCGCAACTTTTTTGATCATGGAAACTTCTTTTTTTCATTTTAATCATAACTTACAGGTATAAATGAAGTATTTTTTCATTTTTAGTATATTAAATTTGTTTAAATTCAATTCAAGAACGACTTTCCCATTTTAAAATATTTTTAAGATTTATGAAATTTTTTAAGCAATCATTCAATATGAATAGTCTACATTATTTGTGAATTTTAAAAAGACATTATCTAGAAGAACGCACAAAACGCCAATCTTTTTATTTGTTTTTATTAATTACCATAATTATTAGTTAAACTACTTTATCTTTGTCTCTCTCTCTCTGGATTCCGCGTCTCCACTTTCCAGTAATCCCAAATATAAATGTGAAGTCGGTATTTTTTTTAATAAACTTATTTATGAATCTTCCACTACTGTTGGTGGTAAAAATTATGAACTAAGATTAGCTTTTTAATTTCTTTTATAGATTTGCAGCTCAATCGGAAGGCGAGTATTTATAAAGTAACGCATTCATATATATTATACTGGTAACATATAGCTCTGAAATTTATTTACGCTAAACATTTAGAAAGAAAAGTATATAAAACTGGTAAATAGTAGTTACTGTATTATAATAATTTATCCTCCTAGTTAAATTGATTCTAATAAAAATGTCTCAAATAAATAATATAATAACGCGTAAAAATTTTGAAGATTACTCTCTGCAATATCGTCAACAATTAAAGCGTAAGATTTTTAAATCGCGTAAACGTGCGTTAATGCAGAAAGAATTAGATTCCGAACAGGCTGACGTAAATCCTCTTATAAATCAACCAGCAGACAATCATGATAATTTAGGCTGCAACACTTTTGATATTGGTGATGAAAACCATACAGTGATCGTAAGAGATAATAATGTATCTGATGGAGATGAATCAAATGCTGATCATGTAGATTCATCATCTTCCTCTTTAGAATCGTCAATATCCTTCAAACGAAGATGACAGTTTGCAAAATTTTGAAAAACGCCTAGGAGATGCATTATAGATACCGATATGAACCAGATTCAAATAAAAGCTGTGATGAATGTTATACGTTCACACTCTTGCCTTGCTAGTTTGCACAAGGATCCACGTACAATTTTGCGTACTCCCCACGATAAAGCTTCCATTACAAATATTGCTGGAGGTGAATATCTTCATTTTGGCGTTGAAAATGCAATTTTAACGACCCTCCAATCAATTTCTCCTCAAAATGTTCCAGAAATGTTAGAACTTGATTTCAGTACAGATAAAGCTTCCTTACACAAATCTTCTTCAATCAGGATATGGCCTATTTGTATTCGGATTGCTAATATAGTTGGTAGCAAACCGGAGCTTGCTAGCATATGGAAGGGTTTTAAGAAACCTACTGATCCTGTAAAAATGATGGAGCGTTTCGTTGATGATCTTCTTTCTATATTAGCAAACAATGGCGTTCACTTCAATGGTAGAATAATTCCTATGAAATTGAGATGTTTTATTGCGGATGCTCCTGCCCGAGCCTTTATTATTGGACATATGGGTCACAACTCTCGGGTACCTTGTTCAAAATACTAGGTACAAGGTCAATTTATTCGCCAAAGCTCTGTAATGGTTTTTCCAGGAGTAAATCATCCTCCTCGTACAAACGAAGAGTACATTTCCAAAGTTGATGGTGAGTATCATAAGGAGGGAGTGGGGGCTCTCGACAGGCTACCATTCCAATTCGTATCAAACGTTATTTTCCATTATCTAGTCGCCATGGGAGTAACAAAAAAATTTTTAGAAGCTATTATAGATGGTAAATTCTCTCAAAGTTCAAAAATGAGTAAAATCGCAATCTCACAAGTGAATAAAAGACTAGTTTTAATAAAATAATATTGTCCTGAGGAATTTTCACGAAAACCCGTAGATATAACAAATTATAGTAAATTCAAGGCTACCGAGTTTCGACAAGTACTTGTATATACTGGCCCCGTAGTTTTTTCAGGTTTAATCGAAACTGTCGTTTATTTACATTTTCTACTTCTGAGCTGTTCTATACGAATTTTTTTGTGTCCAGGTTCTTCTGAAAATCTTCTTGCATACGCTGAAGAATTTATTAAAATCTACGTCGTTAGAGCTGAAGAAATCTTTGGTTTAGAGTTCTTATCGTACGTCACTCATGTTCTTCTACATTTACACGAAGACTATAAAAATTTCGAGTCTCTTGATTCATGCTCAGCTTTTCCTTACGAAAATAACATGATGTTTTTTCGTAAAGCTTGTCGCAAACCGCATCTTCATCTAGCATAAATTTATAGGAGGAGAATTGAAAGTCTTCGTAAGAAACAGGTGATAAAATTAAACGAAAGGAAAATTATTTTTAGAAAACATCGGCGAAAATTTTATCATGCGCCATTGTCATTAGATGATTATAATTATCGTATGTACGGTAAACTTGAAACGGAAAATTTTAAGCTGTCTCCTGATCAAGCTAATAATACAGTGCGTTTGATTGATTCCAGCATTTGTATAGTAAAAAATATTATTCAAATAGATGATGATCATTATTTAGCGATTCAATATTTTCAAGAAGTTGATGATGTTTTCGATGTAGGTCAATTTGTATCTTCGAAAATTGGAACTTTTTTAGTTCATTCGTTATCGCCTGATATCTCCTTAGTCCCACTTCAAAGTATTGCTTTAGGATGCCTTATTGGCCTGCAAATAATTGTACGTCGGATCCTAAAAGGAATTATTATGTAGTGTCGACAATTCTTTCCTCGCAATCTTAAGCAGATTCTTTAATATATAGCGAAATTTTACGCGATAATCTTGATCAGTATAATATTAGTATTTATCAAACTTATTATTTTATTTTTATAAATTCGCTTTCAACCAACTTTTAAGTTACGCGTTTTTAGCTACTACACATGTTAGGTGCGCTTCGCTCGATCTCATCGTTTTATTTCTTTACATATTCAAAATTCTAAAACATAAACTCTGATCATATATGCATAATAAATACCGATATGTTTATGCATGCTCGTGTGAATATCTCTCAACCAATTACATCACAAATAGTTTGGTTTCACTTTTTTCGAATCTGTTTTTTATAAGGGGATTATACGATAAATGCTAATTTGTTTTTACTTGTCATTTCTTATTTTATTTATTGAACACATTGATACTTTTTACTCGTCCCCTCAAATGTTTTCCGTAGACGTTACAATGCCACCGAAGATGAGGGGGACCGAATCACTAAAGCCAACCCAATCTCTGCGGCTTCTTCAACAAGATTTGGGCGGGCTCAATGACCGAATCAATTTAACGGCACAAACACACAATCTAAACATCACACAAATACAGAACACTACGTACACACTAAAACCCGTCAACTCTAAATCACTCTTTGCAAACCACAACAAAAAAATTAAACTTTCACACTCACACCAACCATCAAATACATCTCTCACTCAAAACACTTATAGACAGCCAGCACAAACACAAAAAAACACATCATTCACTCAACACGTTCGCAATACACAACCAGCTCAATCCAACACCTCACTTACATCCACAAGCCTTTCTTTCACACACGCAATTAATCAACAACAGCTACAACACCACGACTCAGTACCATTTACAACACTCACACGACAACCGTCTTTCTCCGTCAACGTCACTAGACCAGAACCAGCTGACGAATGGACGGACAAACAAACAGTGCTCGAAATTTTGAGGTAAGCTATAATCAAATAACACCACCTCAGCTTTTTATTTCATTATTTAAATATATTGTTTCATTATTGTCGTGTCTCTCTAATATGCGTTTACTCTCTCTTATTTTATATAAAATTGTTTAAATATTTCGGGACTTAAAACCAAATTATGACTAGGGCAGTTGTGCCCCGTAAGACGTCGTTACCTCCTCCCCAATTTACCTTATAAACGGTTATTCCACAAAAATTCGTTATTTTAGATTATGTTAATCCTTAAACGTCATACCTTGCTAATTATATTATTTAATTTTCTCAGGGAATTGCAGCAAAACGTCCAGAAGGTCATGGAGAGCCAAGAAGATCTCCAAAAAATTCGGGATACCCAGGAGTAAGAAAATTTGTGAATAATATATTTTTTATAATTATTAACTTGACTCAAAATTCATGTAAATTTTAATTTAGAAAAATACAAGAATACCTCGGCATTATCAAACGAAACCAAACGTAACTTTCTTTTTAATTACAGCAACCGTAAGAGTATTTGAATAAATTATTACCATAATTTTATTATTTGTAGCAAGCTCCAAGAACAACTGCAGCGAATGGATACGCGATTTAGGCTATCGAAGGATAAACTGCGAAGACCTGCCTGTCTACCCTTCAAAAGTGTGACTGACATTCAATCCTTTGCAGATGTCAGCACTGCGGATTATGATAACGTTGTAAGTTAAGTATTCTAGTATCTAAATTATCAATATTATCTTTAAAGATTATATTATAATACTTTGTTATAGGTATCATATTTCGCATACTTAGGAGGACTTAACGTCAGAGACTGCATCTCTAGATATTTACTAGAGACTCTCGACGTTAATGAATCCCTGTTGAGTGGTGTCATCTTCAAAGGGAAAGGAAAGCATCAGCTCACTTTGAAGGGGACAGTGTTTTACGATGCCTGCGTCGGTAAATATTCAATATTCGTTAATTTTATTAACCAAATGCAGTGAATTTATTTTTTCATTAGAAAATTAATATTTAAAATTTTGTTCACAGAGTCCTTAAACGCCAATAAATCTTTTCAAGGCCTACGGAAAATGACATCGATTTGTTTTTCGTCAAGGCCTTGAAAAATTTAAAGGAGCGTTTGCGACGCCAATCGATCTGCAACGTTCAGGAGCAGAAACTTCTTTATGAAGAATTAGGTAAAGATTTCATAGTTACTTCTAGATACCTGAAAAACCAAATCTAACCAAGGTCTTAAACAATTTTTATTTACAGGTGGGCAAGCTGAAGATGATGGTGATGCCGGGTATGAAGATCAGCCGATGGAAGCGGACGTGGACCTGGCGGAAACAGAGGAGGTAGCAGCTGACCTGGATCAAACAGCGTATATAAGCGACAACGAGATGTTCGAAGATGAAGATTAACAAAGGGCCTAGCCGGATAAGATGGTCTAAACTGCCCCCAACGGTTAAGCCAAGCGGAATATGGCATCTTATAGGGCTTGATTAGAAACTCTTCTGACCAAATTTTCAGACCCCTAGGTGGCCAGGGGCACCCTGTAGGTCCAAAAAAGGATCAAACCGTTTTTTTGAGATAACTCGGCTTCTATAATAACTAACGGAACCAGCCGAACGGCAAAAAATTCGTCTTAGAAAGATCTATATACTAGAATTTTTCCAGATTTTTTGGCGCCAAATTCAAATTTTTAGAACGGTTTCTAATTTTTAAAAATTGAAAACAAAAAAACAAAAAATAACTCCGAGCTTGAAAAAATTTATTTTGTTTATTTTATATTCCTCTATATACTCAAATTTTTTCAGATTTTTTCAAGTGGTGGAACATAGATAAAAAAATTAATAATCATTTTTCGATCATTTTTCCTACGTTTCCGACGTTTCACTCAATTCCATCGATCGAAAATCATTCATTTTTCTATATTTTGTCAATTCTATAGTTACTGCGCTTATATATGATGTCTTTATACCATCTAAATGTAGATTGATCATTGGCTGAACCTCTTATTCGATTATATATTCAGTGAGATGAATAAATCAGCGGATAATTTTTTGAGAATTTTTCTACAACGTTCCGTGTAATATAGTGAATGATATTTATTAGTTATTGTACACAGAGAAGAAATATGGTAACGGTTACCGGAAAATTACTCTATTCTACATATCGCAAAGGATTTGTAACTTCCGATTAATATTCTCCAAACTAAATTGATATAAGATGCATCAATAAAATATTATGATTGAATATATTTCTATATTTTTTATGAGCAAGTTCCACACTGTTGGAATTCCATATGATTATGAACGAATGTTATCTTTTTTTTTCATAATAAAATCACAAAAGCTTAACAGTACCAACAGCAAATAAGAGGATAAAAATAAATTACCAAAGTAGATCGTTTTGAAGAGGCGTTTATTCTAATATTTATTTAATCTTCATCGCTGTCATCATTTATGACAGGAACTATTTCTTTTTCTTGGTAGATTTTTTTCAATTTTTCAGCCGGCCTTATAATTTTAGACAAGTATCGAGCATGCGATAAAAAGTAAATTACTGAAGCTATATGTGAACAGCAACCAACGGTTCTCATTCCATTTGCACATTCACAATAGTATCTTTTGACTCCACCATATCCAATCGAATTAGGAGTATATTCTATGTAGCAATTATATGTTTTGGCAGATATGTGGCGAGAACGAACTTGAATTTTGAGTACACTTGATGATTCCTTCAGATAATCAATATTTACTCGACTCTCTTCATCAATTAATTCAGCTAAATACGAAATTGCTTGGCTCAACTGATACGTTCCTGTGAAAAAAATTTTCAAATCTTCTTCTGTCATTTCTGGAAAATCTAAAATATCGTTTGAAGTTAGTTTCATGAATTTCGTTTTTCGCCTACTCCATCTTCCACTTTCCGCTTCTTCCGCCAAGCTGTTGCCCGTGTCTTTTTTCCTTTTCATAAGGTTAACCACTTCTTCACTACTAGAAATGCTGGAGACGAATCTTTTCCCAAATAGATTGATAAGAAAGCAAGCTATGCGACAGTATGTTCCTGCGTGCGGAATCATTTTATTGTCAAATTGATTATGTAAAAGTTTGTATTTTTGGCTGATAACACCGTGGACTGCTTCAACGACCCAACGTACAATTCTAACCATGCGTGAATTATTTGCCTCAGTGGCTGTTAGCTATTTTCGTTGACCTTTTAATGCTGGCATGAGTCCTTCATACCCCATTTCAGTTAACTTGCAAATAACATCTCTAAAACCTCTGTCCAAAAAAAATTTATCACCAGGCCTTAAAAGAGTGACTAAACCTTCAGGATCATTAAAAATATCTTCAAGTATTTTTGCATCGTTAACATTCGCATAATACGGACCCAACATGTCTACTATAACCATTAGTTGTGCAAATTGTAAAGGGTTTGCACAACGGAGCTTTTTTTTGACCTGAATACGATTTACGTTGATATTCGTTATTGGTACTTTTTTCATGCCTAAGATATGTACCGTGACATACTAAACCCAGTTGACTATCGTTCAAATCGTGTAATAATTTTGCGACTGGAGCAGTGTGATTTTCTATCAAGTACTGTCGGTTCGCTGCTTTTATACCAAAACGAGATGGTAGCACATCTTTTTCAAATGATTCTAATACTGAAGCTGAAAAATCACTTGTTGAGGACGCTCCAAACCGAGCACAGAAGAAATAACGTTATTATAGTTGCCTGTTCGCAGTTTGAATAAAAATACGACGATGGCTTGAGTGACATTTCGAGAATCTGAATTACGTAGTGATGTCATCATTGCACGCAGTTCGAAAAGATTTTCCCATGTCAAGCCAGTGAAAATGATGAGACGATTTTCAGGTCAAGAAAAATCTCTAACTTTGTCAGTAAGCTCTTTTTCAACATCTATTCTGAACTTTTGTAAAAAATTAGAAACATCAGAAGCTTTCATACTGCTAACATTAGATGTTGCTATGATGTTATTCATAACTTCTTCGTATTGTGACGGGCGAATCGATCGTTGGATTCGATCGCCCTGTTCGCCTCTCTCTCTCTCTCTTCCGCGTGCCTTCCCCTGAGCCGCTGCCACATCGGTCTTGGTTGAGTAAAACCGAGTATCGACGCACGATGTGGCTTTGTTGCAGGTCTGATTCCTGATCGGCGGAGATACCTGGCGCTGGAGGGATAGGCGTGAGCAGGGAGCAGAGGAGGAGAGAGAGAAATAGTGTCGCTGGCATGAGCCGCACATGTGTGCGTAGCCGGCGGCGCTCGGCCGTTTTGAGTACCTATAGGGAGGGGCGTGTAAGAAAGCGCGGAAGGCGCGAGATCGCGGGCAGTAGAGTTTTGACCGGCAATTAATTGCCAGCTAGTCAAGCTTCGCGACCATAACGAGTGTTTGTGCGGTTGAGTACCATAGAGTGACCATCAGCAAGAAGGAAGACCGGCTGCATCGAGAATCCTGCCTTTCGAGAACTACATCGCTTACTCAGAGGACGTGGACTTCCGCAGCAGCACTCCCTCTCAAGGTCAGGTACCCTTTTTGGTTTATCGGTGCGCGCCTCGATTTCTCTCTCTCCGAGCATCATATAGGCCGGACGCGGACGAGTGGTTAGATGCGTGAATTCGCATCGCCCTCGCGGAATTCGCGGGACAAATTGTAAGGTGACGTTCTGTTTCCTGTGCGTTCATTCGCACGGAACGAACTTAGCCCGGACTCGGCCGACGCACACGTCAAACGCCGAATGTATAGTATTGTAGCAATAAAGAGAAAGATATTAGAATTGATGAGTTTATTCTGTTCGAACCTGTCTCTCTTATAATTGATTAAATTGCGATTATCTATATTACCGGACGACATAGCCCTCGTTAAATTTTCGCGACGAAGCGAATGCGCCTTCCGAGCCTTTCCCCTTAAATAATTTGTGACGCAACGTTGTTCGGGCTTAAATTATTAACGTACGTGTTACATGGCATCCCTTGTGGGGAAATCGCGGAAATCGGGATTGAGATGATCGCGAGAAAGAGAGACAGGACGCGAAATTCTAAGATAGAAAAGTAATTCGCGTAAACAAAAGAATTTGAAAAGGTCGGTTGACGCCGAGAGGGGAGGTGATCGAACGATCGGCCGAGCTGCGTTGAGTCGCGGCTCGAGCGGTGTTTGTTTACATTCCTCATCTCGGGTTCACAGAGAGCGCCGATCGAGAGAGAGATACGAGGCCGAAATTGTAGCATAGTTGTGTTGCCGTCGCTATACTCAGGCACGGGCGAGTGAGTCATCGACCTAACGTGTCGAAGGCCACTATTCATCATACCCATGGTATACGGCCAGTAAAAGGACGGATAGACGAGTCCATTTAAGAAGCGGGTGTTGTTAGCGTAGTTAGATACTTAAACGATATGGCCATTGGGTACTAATCTGTTTTGATCAGCGGATTATAAAGGTGCGCCCATGCCTGGGAGCCGCGACGAGTGAGAGAGTAGTTAGTATTTGTATTTTTATTTTGAGTTTTATATTGAAATTAAGGACGCAGAGCAGTGCGTATAATTCGCACTGCCTGAAAGCTTATTTTATATTATTGATTGAGTAACGGACGAACGAAAGAAAGCGAATGCGTAGAAGTCGCATCCGCCGTTGATGAGAATTGGCCGGACAATAATTTAGGGCAAGTTAGTGTTGGTCGTTAGTGTTTTTTTTTAGTTTGTTTAATTTCGTTTTATAATTGGACAGTTGCGCGACGCGGTCGTCGGTTGTGCCCACATCGCGAGCGTGATATTAGATCGAGCGTTCGGGCGGTGTGAGAAGCAGGGGGCTTGTCAGGATGCCGCCAAGCGGGACGGCGGGCGCGATTATGCGCGAAATATTAAAGGATAGGTCGGTGCGGGCTCTTAAGCGGCGAATCAATGAAACGCCGCCCGCGGAGTTGCTGAGTCTCCTTAAGAGCTATGGCCTTAGCGTGACGGGTAGCTTCGGGGAACTTCAGGAGCGCATGCTGCGCTACATGATCTCGCGTGAACGGCCGGAGCTTAATCCGCCCCTGAGTCCGGGTGACTTTGAGTCGGGCGTTATGCCGGGCCCGCCGGAGGCTATTCTGCGGGAGGAATCGCGTGAGGTCAACATGGACCTGCAGCCTGATAGAGGCGAGGTGAGCCACGGACGTCTGGAGGGCCAGATCGAGCCTGCGTTAATTCGCAGGCGAGAAAGCTTGGCATCCTCGGACGAGCGGCCGCCGCCGGTAGCAGCGCAGAGAAGCGGGCCAGAGCATAGGATCGAAGACGGGCAGGATAACGCCCGAGTTGCATCACCTGATGGGGCGACGGCGCTCGCCGATGCGAGGAGAAAGTTGGCGTCTCACGGAGAGGTGGCGTTCCAGGGTGCCGCGGGAGGGCCGAACGTTTTCGGACAGGCGTGGAACATCGTCGCAAGCCTGCCTGGCTTGGTTATGCGGAGGGAAGTACGTGCAGCATTATCGGAAAGCGCGAATAACTTATATCGCGTAGAAGAGGCCGCGTTGGAGATGCAGGCGGGTAGGCGAGATGCGCCGCGCGCCGAGGACATGACGACGACTCGGACGCCACGTAGACGGGCGCAAGTGGAGCGACGATCTCGCTCTGCGTCGCGCCGGTGGAGGGAAAGTAGCTCGCGAGAGCCGGTTTCGGAAGACGAATTTTTCTCCGAAGTGGAGAGCGACGCCACCGAGGAGAGAGTATTGGGGTCGTTCGACCGGAGAACGAGCACCCCGGCACTGCCGCGCGAGGTTGGAGAGGCCATGAAGAATTGGGAAGATTTAGTTAGGAAACTGTTGAAGGGCGGCGCGCGAGAGAATTACGCTGTGAAAACCGAGGGAACGTCGCCGCGGGCCAGGCCGTGGTTTGCCGACCCAGGGGAATTTAGGGAGAAGTATAGGCCGAGGTGCCCATCGGCAAGCGAATGGGAAGGTAGTTGGAGCGAGTCCCCGAGTTCGGATGAGGACAGGCCGGACGAGGCGGGGTTGGTCAGTCGCAGACCGAAGCGCCGGAGTACTTGCAGGCGCTCAGGTCTGCGTCAGCCCCGACGTTATAAGCCGGTGGACGCGGTGAAGGCCTTTCGCTCTTGGTCGCTGAAGTTTTCGGGTGACGGGGGAGCGGACGTGGACGGTTTCGTAAGTGATATTAGGAAATGCCAGGATTTTTA